ATGCATAACTTGACTGCTTCTCATGGCTTGTCCGACTCCTGCCCTGTCCTGCGTTGGAAATGACTTCATCCAGGACCGACATCTAATTTCGGCATTCGTCTGGTCAGGTCATTTCGTCAGTGTTGGAGATGACGTAGCGTCTTGGTTGTTGAATGCTGAAACAGCCGACGTGGATATCTTGATTCTCGAGGGGACGGTCGGATTCGTAAGTCGGCACCGCTTTGAGCAAAGGGTAGAGACGAAGAGGTAAAGATAGGGTAGCAATGGTGGTGTGAAGTTGTGAAGCTGGGAACCGGAAAGGAAAGGCGTGTAACCCAAGCCTCTCGTTAGAAAGTTCTTTCCATCTTTCTCCCGCCAGTACGTGCGCCAGGTAAGGCAAGGCACACGGGTCAGTTGCGACCGACTCCACCGAGAATGCGTCCGTATCGTACACCTTCACCTTCCAGGCTTCACCTCCGCCATATCAGCCTACGGCTCTTTCGGGCAGCTTCCCTCTTACACTACCTTACCCAGCATCGTCAACTGCAACGCTACCTTTCTTAGCTCTCCTCACATCAGTCTTGTCGTCGCCTTCTCCGGCTTTGGTGCTCTCTTGGCAGACGGTCATGCTCCCATTTCCAACGACTACGACTACCTTACAACTTACGGATACGGACAATTGGACTGGTGAACCAGGTGCCCTTGTTGGTCTTTTCCATGTCCACACCACACACACAGAGGCACACACATACACACGGCATTGACGAGCATGGCGCTTCCACACTTACAGCCTGACATAGATGAACTGACTGGGCCCCAATGGCCTTTTTTTAACCCTCTTTCTTTTCGTCTGCACGATCTAATCACACGCACGTGGGGTTTGTATGAACTTACGCTACGGACGTCCCGGACAAGGTCCGCCGTCAGTTCGTCCCTGGGTTTTCAATCTCAAGTGCCGTGCTGTCAACGAGAACGACAGGAAACTAATTCCATTCGTCGCCCGGACCCTGGCCCGACGACGTCTCTAATCCGACCTGACCGCCTCAACTCCCGGTTGATTCTTCCGTAGGTCAACCGTTCCCGGCCAAAACATTGAGCCTAGGAGCTGTTGGCTCGACGTGGCGGCCAACTAACACGGCCATCGAAGAAACCGTTTCTACGGATACCTCCAAGGTACAGAGCACTCTCGACTGAAGATTGATATCACACAGAACCTCGCATCCTTGAAGAATTCACCACAACTCGTTCCCGCAATGTCCGTCGACGTACTCTGTATATCCACACGCTAAGAATCTCATACAACACGGCATAAGCTAAGGTATCGAGCTGCGTGCACAAGATTCGAGGTGGATCGGGTACATAGTACCAGTGACAGTCTGACAGTCTGACAGTCGAGTCCCGGCCGATGCTATTGCTGTTGCGTGCTGGTCCTGGACATAGTTTCTTGTGGGGGTTCTTCTCGTCCCATCTCTGCGTGCGTGCCTTGCGTGCCTCTCTCTGTACGCTAATCAGGTACGTGCAGAACAGACATGCGCGTTCCTGTTTCTGTTCCTGTGCCTCTTTTCCAAAACATGGCTGTACCCAAAAGGCCCCAGAATGCGAATCCGCATCCGCACGCCTTAACGCGGGCAGACGAGACCAAGACCTGTTGTCTCCCTCAACCTCGCATTCGACGCCGCGTAAGATGGTCACCCTTCACTATCCTCCGGACACGTATCGTCGGGCTTCGAGACCGCGGCAGAGGATGCGATACATCGTACGCTACACCACGGTTCGCCTCAAGCGAGAGGAGATCTACTTTGGGGATCTGCTCATTCTCCCCTGTCGCCACAGGCGGTATGCTGGGGTCGGGACTCATCCGTCAGCCGTTACCCATTACCCATCTTCTTGTTCCCAGAGTCCCATCGCCAGACGGAGTCCAATTCCCACAACTTACCATACCATACCCATCGCTTCTGTGCCCGCCCGTCCCCGTTACCGTCCCCTGCCTTACGGGTACCAGGCCTTGTCTTCCTGGCCTCTCATCTCTCTCGATCCATCAAGTCTGCCTCTGCCAGTCGGTCGAGTCTCCAAGTCGGTTGGTCAGTCGCCTCTCCAACAAAGGTCTCCAAGTCTTCACCGGCCGCTGCGACGCCGTATCTCGCCAAAGGAGCCCAAGGTGTCTGGTGTCCCGTACACGACGCCTGTGCCGCAATCCTTGTCCGGGTGGGGGGTGGGGGGGGGGGGGGGGGGGGGGGGGGGGGGGGGGGGGGGGGGGGGGGGGGGGGGGGGGGGGGGGGGGGGGGGGGGGGGGGG